GACAACTGTCAGTCGGAAGATAGGAAACACCTGCGAGCAGCGTGGTTCCAAAGTTGTTGAGATGTAAACAGGGCATTTCTGGGGAGGTTCCTGATACTCAGAGCTCTTGGTCTGCTGAACTCCTGCTGCTGGTGGTGCTGTATGTACCGTTTGATCTACTGTGCTTCTCTATTAATGTGTCTGTGCATGTTTTAACCACCAATGTTCTCTGCCTTTCTTCCCACATGACTGGATGGTGCCCGGGGAGGACACCGTCTGAGCTGGAGTACTGGTTCAGTCCCATGGAAGGGTGACATCGTGGATGCAACTTACGAACTGTAACATTGTGGATGCAGTCGTCCATCTACCACCCCACTAGGGATGAAACGGTTACCAGTTTCATGGTAAACCACGGTAAATTTTCCAATAGTTAGTATAACCGTTTATAATTTTAACTACCATTAACTCTGTCATTGATCAGCATGCTTTGAAAAGCTTGTTTTTAAGTGGAAACATCACTCTTTTATTACGCATCTGAAAGGACTAACACAGGGATCAAACAACCACCGAGTACACATAATGGGGAAACAGAGGGAGGTCAGACGCTGGACTGTAAGGCACACACACACTGGGTGGTTTACACAAACACTAGAGACACGCATGGACTGGACAGGGTTCATGCAAGACACAGGCAAGGGCACCCACGACAATAACACAAACAAGACTTCAAGAATTAAGTCACTATTTTGGGTTACGTGTTATTGTAGAGGGGAGATATTGGAATAGTTAGTTTTAGGACTGAAATATAGAAACAAGAACAAACCAGAATCAATGATAGCGGAATACACAGTGTTTGTTTTATTATGAGGATAATGAAGTTCTTTTTTTTTTTATTGGCCACATTATTTTTATGTTTAAAGTGTATAATGCAGCTAATTATATTGTGGTTTTAATATAAAACTGGATGAAATGATTTCAGTTTGTATATCCATACTTTTTGAACATTTACAGGCAAGGGCACCCTCGACAATCGGGAACAAGTATTCACAATAACACAAACAGCAGCTAATTACAATTTTCCCAGCATGCTACTGAACTGTTATTGGGCTCTGCTATGTGGAGCCATCTTGCTGGCGCAACATTATATTAAATACTGTGTAGTATTAACCAAGTTAGCAACAGTTTCTCAGACACAGGTGCGTAGGCGCACCATGCAATGTGGGTTTGTTTTGTGTTGAAAACATGGTGGAAGACAGTGACAGCACTCTGGAAATTTTTCAGCTGTCTAGAGGGCTAGGTCAGAGATGTGGTTCTATGTTGGCTTTTATAAGACTGCAGAAGGAAAACTGATTGAAGATGGCCACCCTGTCTTCAGAACATACAGATAGAAAATATCTGCAAAGGGGGGCAACATGTCTAATCTTATTAGTCATTTTCGTTACCACCACTCTCTAAATTATAGCAAATGCAAGGTAAGTTAAATTTTAGCTCATTGCATGATGTGGGGACTTCGGAATGAGGAAGAATATTTGTCTGTCTAACTTGACAATAGCTTATCAAGAATGCCTAGTGGCTGAGTCATGGCAACTGGACTTCTTTCTTGTAAGGTAGAAACGTTTCTACCTTACAAGAATGAAATCCAGTTGCCATGACTAATCCACCAGAGAGTTTCACTTGGATGACTGAGAATCTTCACAGACTTATCAATAATGTAAACTGAATCATTCAGTGTTATCTGATCTGGTAAAAACATTGCAGTGGTGTAACGGAGCTGGCAATTTTTACCTATATGCCATTAAGAATGAATTCTGTGGAAATTTGAATTTGCATATTCTTGCAATGAGGCACTGTTTATACCAGTTACTTTCCTTTATCTGTATGGATTTTCCTATAACGGAGTTTTAGGGCCACACAGGAAAAAAAATAATGAGATTTCAAGAATAAAGTCATAATTTTGGGCTATGTGTTATTGTAGAGGGGAGATATTGAAATAGTCAGTTTAAGGACGGTAATATAGAAAACAGAACACACCAGAATCAATGATAGCGAAATACAGTGTTTGTTTTATTATGAGTATAATGAAGTTACCCCAAAAAAAGCTGCAGCTGTGTGAGACCAGCCTGCTCTGCAGACTGAGACGGAACTGCACTGCATCCTGGGGCTATTATCATATTATCGACAAATCTTGACGGACTTCAGTAGCACAGCAAATCACAGCACTGTCATATATAGAAGGGAAGTGGTTTTGCATGGACAGACGCCTGCATCGCGGCTTTCAGCCAGCTCCGTGTGGCACTCACTGATGCTCGCGTGCTAGCATACCCAGACCCCCACCCTGAATCATCCTGGATATGGATAGCAACAAGGGGCTAGGAAGGGTGACATTGTGGATGCGACTTACAAAGTGTAACATCAAGCATGCAGCCTTCAACACCCCACACAGGCCGGCATTGATGGACTTTGGCTTTGACCGTGACCACAGTTGCTTTTAGAAAGCAAGCCATCGCTTTCTTTTTCCTATAATGTTAGTGCCCAGGGGGGGTTGGGCAGCCAGGTGACCTTGGACCCCCAGAGGTTTTTTTTCTCCTTATGTGGGAGTTTTTGGTTCCTCTCCTCCGTTGTCATCTGGCTTTCTTTCATTAAATTTCATTGAATTGAATTGAACTCCTTATGTAACTGGATTTTAGATTTTCTCATTAGTAGACTGCAGACTGTGAGGATGGGATACAACACCTCTAAAACAATTATCCTG